ATCCTGACTTTCCAAATGGCAGTCCATTAGGAAACACAAATACAACATTTTACCTTGCTCAATGCTTATAATGGATGATTTTTTAAGAGCTATAGGAACGACAAAAAATAAAGAGAAATACCAGAAATATTTATTTGAATCGTTAGTACGTTCCATATAATTTAATGCTTGAATATTATTTCATGAAAATGTTGACCGTGACTGCGTCTCAAATCTGCTTAGTCCAGTTTTGTCGTACCCTTTTCAACATTTCGGCTGGTATCTCACGAATAAATGCTTCAATGCTATCCTCCATTGCGTCAATTGAATCGGGCTTGTCTGTATAGACATTCGATTTAACATATTCCACGATCTGGCGGGAGATTGACCGGTCCCGAACGTAAAAAAAATGTTCCCTGAACTCGCATTTTAATAAGTCCATTGTTACGCGTGCTGTGCGGCATGTGGCTCCGTCTTGTTGAAACATGTCATGCAAGTCAAGCGCTTGCATTTTGGGCAAAAAAAAAGTTTTATATCATATCACGGTAGCGCATCATCTTTGAAGAAATACGGTCCAATGCTGCCACCAGCCCATATACCGCACCAAACTGATGCATTGATAGCTTTTGTTTCTGTCTGATCCTTACTTAAAAATCGACAATTCTGCTTCTTAACAGAGCACACATTTTGATAGTAAAATTCAATCATTTGCTTACGCTGTTCGTTCGTAAGACGATTCATGGTTAAATTATAGACCAAACTGAAGATGCTTGACAGTGATACAGCTGTTTAAACCTGTGTTGCCAAAAAGATAATAGCTAAAAACATCACCCTTTACAACAACTTCTCGCGAACAGCTTACAGCGGCTTCAGAAACCAGCCCTATGAACACTAATTGAATTTGTCTGTTATGCAAAAAATAAGCACCCAAGTATATCTAAACATAAAATTTACAGTCATCGCCATATACAAATCGGCTCAAGAAATCTTTAGTATATGTTATACATACATACAGCCAACATTGCTAAAGTCGCCCAAATCCCGTAATATCGACACACAGCACAGCACAGCAAGTAGCTAGTACTGTTATCCTAAATATTATATTAATTATCAAATTATAATTCATTTTATGCTTAATACAACAAAAACCAATAATAATAACGAATATCAAATTAAGTCTCTGTTATAATTATTTTATTTTTTTTTATCAATTTAATAGGTTAACTGCAGCAACCGAATGTACATACAATTAGTCCGTGGCTACAATAAAAACACGTTTGCCATCTAAACTTTTGGTTTTTACATCCTTTAAAAACACGACATACATACATATGTACTTTGTTGCGAATAAATATTTGAACCCATCCGCGAGTATTGATAAGTAGTTGATTTTTTTTTTTATATTATATATAAATGAGAACGGAACACATAAATTTCAACAAGAGTATATGTTGAAATCTACATATGTACATATATATTTGTATATACATATGTATATACATACATATTTACATGTGCTTATGTTCATATGAAATTTTAAATGTGTGCATATTGATACTCTACTATTTGAGTCTATCCATCCCTTTGTTTTGTTGGTACATTTGAGTTTACTCGTTATTTTCTCTGATTTCAAATACCGGTTTTGTATTGACGACGATTTTGGAAAAGTGACAAAAGAAACGAGCAAAATATTATGATTTGTATAAAAGCCATTAGGTAAGCATGAGGTATTTAAGCTATGACATAGAAAGAGTGGCACATTTACATAACACACAGTAATTGAGGTCTAGGCCGATTGAGCAGTTAATTTGAAGTGTAAATTTTATTATTCAAAGGAGTTCACAGCCCTTACCTGCTTTAGTATTTGCGCTGAGTTGGTCACTATTTTATTTTTTCATTTAAGTTAGTTTACCTCAGCCAGAGCACAGCTGTACTCTCCTACATTTATTAATTTTGGTGTCTTCCATACATATTTGGTTCTTTGACTCAATATTCGCATAAAGTTGTTGCTATTGTTTTACATTCAATCAATTACAATTAACGAACGTTAAAAAATATGAGGTGGCTACAGCGGTGCTGGTTCTAGACATGACTGATTATTTTCAGTCTATTTACCAACCTTAACATGAAGAAAAAAAAAACATAAATAATCAGAAAGTAGAAAATACGGAAAAATTACCGTATAAGTATTAATTTTTTTCAATTTTCAAAAAGTACAAAATTTATTATCACTTAAGCTACAGATGTTATGTATGTATACCTCTCTAATTCTAATTTTTTTAGTTTAAATTTGTTTGAAATATGAATAGAAAATTGATGAACAACTTTTTGCCTAGCCAAAAAAATGCACCAAATTGAAAAATTTAATCTGTGCACATATGTTTATACATACATACACCGTTGGAAAACAATAATATACTCTTAAAGCTGTTTCACATAAGAGTTTTGTCTCGTCTTACCTCAGAGCTGCGTTTTGAAAGATAGGTTCGGAGTAGATAATGTATACGATTAAGTACACATAAAAAGTGGTTGAGACGAGGCGAAGCGAGGTGAAGCAAAATGTTGCTGAACGTTCAACTTATTACGCTTCATCAAGTTTGTAATGCAATACATGATATTTAAACTTCACAGGAGAGTGAAAAAACATGGCAATTTATTTCATATTGGTAGAATAAAATTTTGTTATGTTCCATAAAATAACTAAAGAAAAAAAAATCTATCGGCTAATTTTTATGTTTACAATGGTGCATACTGGCTCCTTAGTGGAGTTTCAGTTACCAAGCAAGGCGAAGCAGGTTTTATCTGAATCATAAATTAGTTGTTAAAATTTCAAACTCTAAGGAACTAATACGGTAAGCTAGTTTTCTAATACAGGTCTTGTTTTGTTAGCATACAGTTAGCATTTACAGAATATTAACGATGCGATTTTTTCTCCATCAGTGTACATATGTAAATAAATGCAAGTACATTCACATAGCACCATCTAACCATCACTGGCTAGAGCATTGTGCACTAAAAAAAAAAAGATGAAGAATGAACTTCGACACCGCTTGTTACTCTTATATACAAGGTTACTGAGGCAATAGTTCTAATAAATAAATTAATATATAAATTGCCAGATTCCATTAAGAAACATCCATTATTGTATATAGCATCATATTCCGTCACAAGAAAAATTCAACACCCTATATATCTGCCTCCGAATCGAAAGATGTGGATACGTTTCATGGATCTAATATCGTCTTGGATCACTATGTAAGGCCTACCCGTGAACGATCTTATTAAACCTTAGAGTGCGTTTTTCTTTCTTTCTTTTTTGGCGTTGGCACCGCCTAAGCGATTATAGCCGAATCAATATTAGCGCGCCATTCATATCTTCTTTTCGCTGTTTAGCGCCAGTTTTAAACACCAAGGAAACCAGGTCACTCTTCACCATATCCGTTTATAGCTGGAGTGCTTACATCCATTGCTTACATCCTTGCCAGCGTACCCGCTGTAAAGTAGCGTGGTTCCTAAATAGACGAAAATATCTACGACCTCGAAGTTATGACTGCCAATAGTGACCTAGGATCCAAGTCGCTAATGCGATGACTGTTTGTTTGATGACAGGAGATATTTCGTCTTGACCTCGTTCACTACCAGACCCAATAAAAAGAATCGATGCACACCACATTCTCATCGATTAAATCTGCCTTCAACAACACGAAAATGAGCTGCTCCTATGCCGATAAATTCTGATTTTCGTATCCCTAGAAAACTTATAGAGTTGTGTAATCTAACGCTAGACAATAAAAGAAGCGCAGTCAGATTTAGAACGATTATGGGTAGCTAATGAGGATAAGGATTTGTATTTCACCACTGTATTTGGATAACAATAAAAGTCGTTCAATATTTCCGTTTTAATATATGGTCCAGAAATATGAACGATATCTCCAGTAGTAAATTTAAAGAAAGGGTGAGTACCAAAACGTCAGTTGCAAAAACCATAAATTGTTACGCGTTTCTAAATGCAACTGTGCAAACTTTGACGATGTACCATGATGCTTTATTTTACTATAAATTGTTAATAACTATGGCCAACGCGGGAGGGTTTTTAAACATTATATTACTTATTTGTTGATCAGTTTTATAATTTAGACATTTCACCGAAAAGAAACTTATTTGCACGGTATTTTTGCTTTGTAAATTTATATAATGCAGGGTTGCATTGTAATGATACGGTTTGAACTCACCAAGAGTTATACGGCGGCATTGAAATAGTTCAGCGAATAATCAGGTTAGCTTCATAAGGCCGCGCCGAAAAAAAGGCTTTGCTAAAACGTCTTTAAAATTTTCATGTTATTTAAAAGTAACTAGAAAATGTCAAATTAAAGGTGTCTTTATACTATTTTAATAATTCAGTTTGTTTAATTAATTTAATTTAATTACATATAAGTTTAAGAAAAACTATTTTTTACTAAAAAAAAATTCCAAGATTCGAACGTTCCCCCAATCACAAAAAAATGGCGGAAAACTCCCAACTTATGGGTTATTTTTTACCCTACTCTGCACTAACGCCATCTCATTTTATCAAAGAAAAAATTTTTAGGTGAATGCTTTAAAATTCACTACAGTATGAGGCGCTACTCAAACAGGTTACACCATGAAAAAAGTTCCGCATAGACGCATTTCAACGTAAACCAAACTATACTTACTCAATCCTCTCGTACACAATATTTTTCCTGCCTCTCTTTGAACTGCGCAGCGTACAGGATTATACCGCGGTAGTCCCTCGTGTCAAAAAAGGAAACACTTCTATTGGCGCCCCATACTTTGGGAAAAGGATAATTGGAGGTGATAGAAGGTTAAAATTGAGATTTTATTACGCAAAACTCAGTCAAAATAACGACGCTTAAACACTTTAACTGCGTCTTCTGTGTCAATTTCATGATATTTTTTTGACACATTAAATTTTAATTTTAATGTTTGGGATCGAAACCATAAATATTAGATATGTACGTTTAATATAATATCTTACTTACCCCATTGAAAACATCGCTACATTCCAAATATATTAAAGAAGCATTGTTTGTGGTTTTCTGTTGGACAATAGCAGTGGACATTATCGCGGTATGCAAGAATTGCTTCCAAATACGTGAAATATATTTTTTAATTTGGGAAACAAGCTATTCCCGGTTGTCACTATTTATGTACTGAATATGAAATAATTCTAATAAGTTGAAGCTTTTTTATCACCGACAACCAGTTTTTCTCTTGCAGAATTTTGATTATTTTAAATTTGATTTACTACTGATCGTGTAACGAAGCACAACAAAATACGCCACAATTAATGTTACAATACCAGCACAAAATCACGATTAATATAGCACATGGGCTATTATAGAGAGAATGCTGTTTCGTTTGTAGTTGTTCCTATGCCAGCAAATATGTATTTTATTTTGATTTTTATTGCTTTTCATGAGTTCCGCATCTATCGAAACTTATTTATTCTACTCTGGTTGCCAACTTAAATACTTATAGTATTAATTTCACATCGAATATTATCAGTCCTTTTGCTACCGAGCTGATTCTAGTTTTCTGGTGTGATTGTTTATGTTGATCTCGCTAACAGCTGCGTAAATTGATGCTACCAACCGTTCAAAGGGCAATTAAGAGAAGTTCGCAGCGTAAGACAAAGCACTCGCCATATACTATATAACTTCCGTTTTTTCTTTATTGTGTTACTTTTCACTTGCTTCGACGTAGTACGAGTAAAAAGAACTAGAATATAAACTTCAGTCAATATATTTTAAGCATAAGAAAAAAACTGATATAAAAATCAACGACCTTTCAAATATTAAGAAACCAAAAGTGTCAAAGCACTTCAAATATACTTTATTTAAATATTCACAAACACATACAAAAAAAAATTAATTTAATTAGTTGTACAAACTCCCATTCGCTTTACTTAAAATATGACTACCAAGCCTTAAAGAAAATAACCAAACTCCACAAATTCGATTAACAGACTGATTCAAGCCTAATAAATTTTAGAAGATGGCAAGCCTCATCGATTATCGATACTATAAAACTGAACCTAGCGCTAACTATGGTATTTCATCTCTAAGTTAATTTCACGAAAATCTTGGTGTGCACTAGGCAACTTTTGTTAACACCCTTGCCAAGTTAAGCAGGAGAGTGCAAAGATGCAAGAGACCTTGCTGAGCTGTACGCGCTCGGACATTGTCTTAATTATTTATTATTGTAACATATGTGTAGTTAAATAAAATTAAATTAAACATTCCCACGCTATTGTTATATCGCTACGCCAACCTACTTAAGAACAGACGGGAAAAGTCTAAGTCATCGAGGTCAAATAACGAAGAGTTCAAGAATCGTTCTGTATTTACTGGATCGGACAGGTGGAAATGTAGAAGAAGGGTTAGATAATACAGATCTTAATTGTACCAGTATTGCTTGGGTTTTCCGAAACAGCTCGAGCTGCTTCAAATGAATGATGTTGGCTCACGAGCTTCCTCAAAAGCTCATCCAAAGATGGATTCGATTATTACATATGCTATCTATTGGGGATGCCGAGCTGTCGTTCGGCCTCCTCGAATACTTAGTATCACAGCCCTTGGAATATCGCTAGATTGAAATTCCTTCCCTTGTAAAAGTGCATTTCTTTAGATTCACAGTTTTAGCTTTTCGTATTTTAAGTGGTTAGAACTCCGGCCATTCACTAAAGTAGTCCTTTCAGTTTATAAACGATTAATTGACCGCTTCATTTTAGTTGCGAAATTCAATTTAACATAAAAACATTTCTCTCATTTGCCTATTCCTCTTCGTCAGTTCCTTCTCCTTCTTTTCACACCAAACTTCAGCGTATAACGCGCTGTTAAATATGCAAATTCCATTTGTTCAACGTTAGCGTCACGTTATTCCTGGATGGCCCATACAAATTGCACAGCCATGAGGATTTTTGATAGCAGTTTAGCGCTCACCGCTTCAATTTAAGTATAGCATTTTCGCATTCTCTAACGAAATATTGAATATTCGATTGATAGAATGTGCTTTAGTTATCAGCATCTCTTTTTCTTCTGTCATTCGTATTAGACTTTTTCGCCAAAATATTGTTGCGAAAATGCGAGGCGAATGTCAGATAAAAGAGAGAAGCCGATAACTAGTATATTCTAGAACAAGAACCTTCGATAGCGAACAACTCGATTATTCTACAATTTCGTCTGCGAGCAGCCGACTGCTATATAAAGGCGACAATCAGCTGCCAAGTCAAGTTAGCTACAAAGTGAACTCGTCGCGTTAACATCAGTAAAGTCGTAAAGTAAACACGTTGGAGATTACATTTAAGTAAAGTAAATTGTGAAACTTGTTGATAGTGATTGTAAATAGTAAAGTGCATT